CCGGAAAATCCAGATGGTAACCGAATTTGTTCAAATTAGGCACAGTTGGGAGCCGGTGTTATGATCGGCCCTATAAACTAATAAGGGGTGGGAGAACATCAAACATATTTGATTGAGTAAAACTACAATGCAAATACACGTATGTTTCGTTAAGTTGCCCCAGGAATTAAAACTTGACTATTTACAAAACAAAGCATAGCTAATAAACACCAAATTCCGAGAACATGATGAAATGTGTACAGTCAACATTGTTTGCAAACAACACGTTGCAATGTGGCCTTCTAGGAAATCTGTTGATAGCAGGCAATTATCATCAAGTTTCAGCTATCTCTTGGGAGAGGGATTATCATCGTTTCGACGTTTCTGCCTTTCGTTACTGCATAAAGGTTAAGCAAATATGTGTGTTCGTCTCCTAAGAATGGATATATAGTGAAGTGCATATGTTAGAAAGTCTGTCTTTGATGCACTGCACTAGCGGGGGTGCTGGTGAAGGTGCATAATTCTTCCACTTGGCCTGAAGCATCGTCTTTGACAGGTAACAGCTCTAGAAATGCCGTCATTACAAACTTCTCCAGACAACAACTCAATTAATATTCATTAGTCCAGGGATCTAATTTCCCCAATTTAATTACATTAGCAAGACTAGTTAGTCTCTGCATACTCAAGCATGCAAAGGGCAACCGATGCTACCAATGGTATAAGTGGGTGTTGATATGTTAAGAAAGTGCTTACAGGAGGTAGAGCTATGATCTCACGTTAATTACTGTGATTGTTGGGCTACATTTGATGAGGAAGTTTCAGTGAAAAGCATCGTGCATAGATTTTTGTGTTAACAAAGAGGTTCACAATTTTTCGATGTTTGAGGCAAACTTTGAGACATTTATATTTTGCATCCGAGTGTCTGTGTGGTTGCTACGATCGTGTTTGCCAGAATTAATTGAAGCGTTAATAAAGTTAATCACGGTTTCCCTGTTCAGTATCTTTTTACAGTTTTTGAACTGTAAATCACAAAAAATACCGAACCATAAGTTTTTCTTCAGAAAACTACTGATGATCAGTAGTTCTTGCTTCAAACAATTTCATACTAAACCGGAAAATCATTTTTGTCTTCTGCGGAACTGACTTTTGCGCCAAAATACCGATAACTTCGTCTTCTTCTTATTCGCATTTTAAGCTTATTGCTTCGTGCTTATTAGCTTATTGCGTGCTCTCAACTTAGTGTTCTAAATGCACTTCCACAGTTAATAATTGAGAGCTTTCGATGCCAATACCAATGCATAAATTTGTATATTATGTGGCAAGCACAATGATACTCTATGCCCAGGGAAGTCGAGAAAATTTCCAACCCGAAAGATTCCCTCGACCGGACCGGGAATCGAACCCGCCGCATCCGGCTTGGTAATACCGTGCCTTGACTGACTAGACTATGAGGCCCCTTACAAAATACCGATAAGCAATGATGAAAAACTCACATACTGAATAAGTAATAGTACAAATAAATTACTGAAAAAGACAGCAATGTGTTAATGATTGAAAAGATACTTTTTGGCAGATCCTGAATTCTGCGATTTAAGGTGTTTTCAGTAAAAGCAAAACACTACTTGGTTGGTTACTGAAAACTCAGCTAGTCTAGTCTAGTCTAGTCTACACATACACAGCCAGTACTTGAAAGAATCCTGGAAAATGATACATCTATCATTTTTCTTGTCATTATTAATGCCTGCTGCACATCAAGGATGTGAAACAAACAATAAAGCGGCCAGGCCTACTGTGTAGCGTTAAGTTAATTTTTGTGGAAGTGAATGTTTACCATGTCTACTTAATAAGTATAGACAGTGGTTAACATTTAATCCACAGGTAATCAAAGAGCGGGGACATACCGTACCAACCGCTCCGTATGCAGGGCTATATAAATCGTTGGGAGTGACAGAGCTAAGAAAGTTAATGTACACTCCTTGATTGTCCGATCTCCTGGGATGGAACACAGGTATTTACCCCTTGTGTTCGAGCGTACAGTCCTCCCTCCGTACAAGCGTGGACGGCACCGCCAACCCACTGCCATCCCTCAATCGATCCAGCCGACCTCAGTCGAAGGACAACAGAGAGCGGTGTGCGGACGTAACCTATACGGAGGGAATGCTGTATTCGCCTAGGTTATAGCGCCCTTGCTCGCTACCATTTTCTTCTAGCGGTTGGGACCTGAGCACTAACTCTTGTCCTAGCCCTATATGGCATATGGTTATAGCGCCATTACTCGCTTTCTGAAAAGAGAAGAAGGGAAGGGAAGGAGAGGAAAAGGACTTGGGAAAAGGAAATGCGGAATTCCTTTCCTCATTAGTATTTGTATCGTCAACTTTTATGAAAACTATATAAATCATTCTTCCTTGGTCAGAGGTATTATTACGACATTTGAATAAGATTGTCTTATCATTTCCCTAATAAAAATAACCATAAAAGAGAGCTTAACGACGTGTTCGGGGTATCATCCAAACCCTATGTGGGATGGTTTACCTATCCGAGATACAGTTCGTTTATGGTATTTATTCGATTATCCAATATAAATCGGTAACACTGTCCTGCAACCGATGTAGGAAGCACCAAAGAATATATATAGACAAATCTCAAAAACACAGTTTTAACTGATAGTACTTTATAAACATCAAACTGTCCAATATTGGATCCTGCCAATTATTAGCACCAGAATAAATTGCAACGGACTCACCAAATTGATCCATGAACGATGTCTTGTTACAGTGATCTCCATACTCAACGGTTGGTTGACTGGGCTCGAAAATAGGTTTTCCTATTCTTAGTATCGGACAAGCGAACCAAAAATCCTGTATGGCCAATCAGTTGATTAGTCAGATGATGAAAGCACAATTGTGGCTGAATGGATTCAGGCTGCTAATCGGAGAATCTGACCCACTTGTAAGGAACACAAAGAGCCACAAAGAACAACCAATGGTGCTAGGTTCCGAGATGATCAGTGGTTTAAGAACTCTGGGGTGGCAAATAGTTGAAGAAACACTAATTACAACTACACAAAAGTCTAGAAAAAACGGAGCAAAAATTGACGGCTGAAAATTTTCTAAGTCTCTCTTCGAGCACAGCTCACTACGATGCATTCCCAGAGGTGAGTCCGCCTTGGCAGAAACACTGCGGTGTCTGCCGGGATTGCATACGGCGAGTAGGTAATCCGGTGATTCGTCACCAACGTCGCCGGGAGGGGGGGGGGGGTTCCGAAAAAGGAGCCTCGCTCATCCCCCCCCCCGCTAAAAGTAAAGGACCGCTGCTAGGCAGCCAAAAGTGAAGGAGAAGAGACGTTCGGCACAGACCGTGTCTGGAGCCGACGTGAACAGAAACCGCTGCCGCTACCATTGAAGGGCCCCACCGAGACACCGAGGACAGCGAGGAGGAAAAGGGAAGGTCAGGTTAGACAATATAAGTAGACGTCGAAAATTGCATTTCTTTCTCTTTTTTTGTATCATAAACACCCAAAATCCGAACGTCTTTTGGGGAAGTACTCTGCTCATAGCCGCCCCGCCGGTGTAAATTGGACCAGCTTGAGGCTGGAAGGTAAGCCGTAACTTACAATTGGTTTACTAGAACGGAAATATGATCAAAAACCCTACAAACCTATACAAAAAACAAATTTAATCAAATTAGGGTAGAGAGTTACTTCGGCCTCATCGCCCATTTTGGTACTATCGAGCGGAAAACTTCAAATAAATCCATGATTTCATAATTAACAAGTCAATTATGCGTTTGGTACGATACTTCAGTTAATAAGCTACCGAATGAAGTCAATGAAAACACGTGATATGAATTTTGCACCCATTATTCCCAAAAACAAAAGCAGCGCTCCGTCCGAATCAATTTTTATCTTCATCCGATTGGCCGAAGTGAATTCATTGGCGTTTAAATGGCGTTTCAATGCGTTAGGCCGAGTTTAGAATCCGTAGGCCGAGTTTGGCGTCAAGAAGCAGTGTTAGACTTTTGAGAATAGAACTGGTGGAGGATCGACTGTATCGTTGAATATTTTATTGAACGGTTTATGTATCAATATACAAAAAATTACAGTTCCCCCTGAAGAAGACACAATTTCCGTGTCGAAACGTCGGGTAAATAAAAACTCGTTCAATTTAACAAAGACTGCGTAGCCATTCAATAAAATAAAAAAAAATATAAAAAAAAATACTTTTGAGAATATCTCAACGATTAGTTACTCTTTATCAAATCTTACGGTACGTACGGAAATGTAAATAAATTTGGAAGCCATCAGTAATAATAACATTCCGTTAGGTGCTAAACTGCGCTAGATTAAGAAAGACTAAGTGCGGGTTGTGCTTAATTGGCCGGAAATGGGGTAATGAACCCTATTGTGCGCGAAACTAAATAAAATTTGTATCTTTATATTGGTAGCACTATGCGCTACTTGTATATAAGTTTTTTGAGAATTTTTCCAACCACAATTGTTTAGTTTATGGTGTTACATACATGCCCTGTTTGACAAGTTCATGTTCATTATGACGTCGACGAATCCATGTGCTGGCAAGCAAAATTAATCTTTTATAGGCACGCGATTGCCGGGTGGATATTCCTACTGATTGCATTGTTTCTTTGCTGTATCTCTTAATCACCATCATGTTACAAATCTGAAGCAGATGTAATATTGCACTCATTCAATGCCAAATGTATTTACTTCTCCTATACCATTACGTAATTCTAATATTATGTAAGCTTCTTGTGCAACGAGCAAATGACCAATCAAGAAAAAACTTGTAGATGTTTAGCATTACTTTCCAAAAGATTGACACGACGTCACTCAGAGAAAATAGAATTCGTTTGCGTGAAGCTAGGAAATCAACGTTTCCGAGTGCGTGACTAATTCAAGCTTAACCAACTTATTCGATCATTCCACAAGCTGCACCGCGGTAGTAACCTAATTACAAGTCTAATTATTTTATTTGCCTTCTTCCTTCTCCCTATTCTCTCTACAGACGTGGCTTGACTCCACCACATCGCGTCAAATCCATTTCGATGGCCACATTCACACAGGAGGAAATCGACTTTGTCCGGCAGAACGGTAACGACACATGCAGCACAACCTGGCTGGGGCTGTGGGATCCCAAGCGCGCCATAAAACAGGAACATCGAGATTTCATGATCGACAAATATGAGCGAAAGAGGTGAGTGAACCATAATTTCCTTGTGTTAAGTTCTATATGCTGAGAAAAGTCAAATCCATATGAATATGGTTCATAGATTCATCTTCAATGCTAAAATTGAGCCATTTTCTATTCCTGAATAGCCCTACAATGAGTCACATTACACTCCGGGGTAGCATCGAAATTTATCGGAGATAATATAATTTCCTTACCACCACAGCTTAATTGGATGAATAGAAGTGTCTGGATTGAAGATTTAACTTCATCAGATCGAGATTGTGGAACTAATGAGATTTCCCCTCCCTCTCTCTCTGCGTGTTTGCTTTCAGGTACTACCTGGAACCCGCCAGTCCATTGAAATCCCTGCCATCAAACACCACCAGTTCGACAACTTCGCTGTCGGCAAACAACGGTAACAGTAACAGCAGCAGTAATCTTAGCAGTAGGAATGGTTCCGAAAATATAGTGCCACTGAAAACTATTACCTTGACACCACCAACGTCTCTGCGGCTCAGCCGAACCAACTCAAACTCCAGCAGTGGACTCAACGGAAACAGCAGTCAGGCGTCGTCAGTCACAAGTTCCAGTACAAATCTTAAGTTTCAGCAACAGTTCACTCCAGACGATAGTAATTTTTTCAGCGAACCGCCAAAAATCTTGCCACCCACACCACAGAAGCACTCCAGCCATCATCACCAGCGATTGAATGGCACCGTGAACGGAAGCGCTTTCGAGCGAAGTCAGAAAAATGGTCTACTGAGTAGTGCCAGCAATGGCAATACCAACAGCAATAACATCATCAACAACAACAATATCAACGCCAACAAATTCACACCTGACTCGGACTTTGTGGCTGACTTTAGCAATGCAAACATTGTCAGCGTGAATGGTGCGACTACCGCCAGTAACGGACTGAAAAATAGTGGCAATCACAAGCTGAGCAATGGCTTCAACGAGAAGGGCAATCTATCCAACGGACACCAGAATGGAGGAAACGCGAATCGACAGACGAACGGTGAAATGGAGAATTTTGCCGATTTCGAACACAACACAATCTACAGTTCGGCGGGTAAGCTTGAATTGAGGATATATGATTTGTTGCTTTTGTTGAATTCTGAATGTCCACCACGGTGTAAAGCATTCGCATTTAATAATACTGGGTCATATGTCATAAATAGTATCATTCATTGACTGCTCGTGAGAGAATTAACTTGCATGTAAATCTGCAAACAAATCTCACGCTTGAGATTCTCTGTCATTTTCACGCACTCACGTCGTCAAAAACGCAGTCAAGATTAAAACTCATAAAAATCGGAGAATCGTAATCAGTTGACGTTGCTCATGCATGTTTTGTTAGTTTTCCATCCAATAATCATACATCATACATTTTAAGAATAATAAATAACGCCAAAATATAAAGCAATTATAAAGCAATTTGGAACCGAAAATCTAATCGAAGTGCAAAATACTTTCAAACCACCCAAGCAACCATCAATCCCGCTAATCGCTGTTTTTGCAATATAATGTTTATATATGGCCAATTTAAAGTTTGGCAGCACTATATTAACCTTATATTGCAAAAAAGACGATTAACGTGCTCGGTGATTACTTGGGAATTTACGCATCAATCAGATTTGGGCAGTTTTCGTATAAAAAAAATGTAGTAAATGACACAAGTTGAAGTTCATTGTATTTCCTGAGGATATTCTGAAAAATTTGAAAATCATTTGAGGAAAGTGAAATCAATCTGGAAGTTTGGTAAACTTTGTACAAGCATTGAAGGAACTTCCTAGAAATGTAATTGAATGTGATCTGAGTTATGCATTCACAAGACGCGACGCGAGACAAGACACAACACTTATCGTTCTTACAACTTTAAAATAAATTAAAATTTACCTTACTGTCGACCGGTTTCGGGCGTGATGCTGCCCATCTACGGGACAATGTCCGACTGATTACTTGGATGTTCATACGTTGTTCCGTACACGTCCAAAAAGAAGAGAAGAGAAGCTACTGGATTCTCAGATTTGTCAGGTTGAAAAGGCAGGATATAATGGGGGGTTCATCTTCATTCATTAATGGTTCAGCAGCATTGGTGATGAATGATGATTCCCAGGCGTTTAGATGTGTAGTTTTTCTGACGGATTTAATGAGTTTTGCACCTTTCCAGTCAATGTTATGGTTTAACGTAATTGTGTGTACTGCCACAGCTGATTCATTTGATTTTCTGTTGTCTACAGCATGTTTATGTTCCTTTAGGCGGACCTTTACTTTGCGGCGCGTTTGTCCAATATAGACTGAAGGACAATCCTTGCATGGAATTTGATAAATTCCAGACTGTTCATCCGGCGGAACTTTATCTTTCAAATTACACAACAGGTCACGCAAAGTGTTGTCGCTCTTGTGTACTACCTGTAGTCTTTGTCGCTTGAGTGTGGATTTGAGTTATGCACATTAAAAAAACAAATTTTATTGCGTTTGCTCCGACATTCCTGGCAATTTTTTCGAAATCCCGGATTTGGCTGACTGAGTGGTTTTTACTCAGTTTGACATTTCTCGTTTACTCAGATTTTGACGACCTAATGCATCAGACGAAATTGATACGATCGACTCACCCGGTGAGTAAGCTGAAGTAAGCGTGCAAACTATTCAGTAAGTTATTTTCACTAGTTTAAACACAGAAAATGAAGCTTATTTTAAACTTATATTCTATATCTTAAATATCCGTAGATTGGATAATTTTCTGATGGGCAACATATGCGCGAAGCACGTACTTATCGTTGTGTGCGCAGAATAAACGCAAGCAGATTCGACACTATGGACTTTTTACCTTAAGAAAACATATATTTCATGAATATTATATTTAGGGTCTCAGCGGCAGATAATTTTAATCCGTTTTGTTCCTATAATCTCTTCTGTACAATGTTAGAACGGGCTGGTACGTTTGGCATAAGGACGTTTGACATAACAGCATTTGGCATAAGCACATTTGGCATAATGGACACTTTGCACAACGGAGCTTTATTTTTGAAACCAACAGTTAATGTACATTTACAATCTAACTATTATCCCTTCTTTTAATTGCTGCTCGTTCTTTCACAATATCCACGATTTTCCATGATAATTGAAGGCCGCGGTAGCACTGCTAATGTTTTAAAAAAGGAATCTACAATGCATAAATATGATAAATATTGAGTATTTCCTTTGTTAAATATTCGAAAAAAGAACCATTCTCTTTTTTGTGAAATATTCAAAAAAGATAGTGCTCATCTCTTTCGACGAAGGAAATACTTTCACAAGTCACAGAAGTAACAATTTTATGAACGAGCAGCAACGAAAAGAAGGAGTAATCTTTGGTTGTACATTAACTATTAGTTAAAAGAATCTTCAATTCGATTATGCCAAATGTCCGTTATGCCAAGTGTCCATTATACCAAGAGTTTATTATGTCAAGTGCCCATTAAGCTTATGTCCTTATGCCAAACGTCCTTATGCTAAATATACCAGACCCATAAGAACAGGTACTACACCTATCTTCACCACTATGACATGCTTTTTCTCTGCATCCGGTTAGTTGAATGATGTCATATCATTCATCTGAGAAAGGGCGGATGCGCCGCACACATTGAATTATCTACTTTTATTCAGTTGTGATCTAATAGGTAATATTGCCTACCACTTCATCAATCGCAAAAGTAGGACAAACCAATCCAGTGTTGTCCTCAATGGCGGTAGGTATTTCACTTTATTATGACATAATTGAAATATAAAGTCTGAAGTTTGCATTTCTCAAACATTCTACCCTAACAGAATCATTTCTGAATTCATTCTTCCTACTCATTCTGTGCTTTCTCAAGAATTTCTCCAACTACTTCTTTGAAATTACTAATGTATTCCTTTTCAAATTCAAGTTTCTCGTTAATTTATTAGGTTTTTTTTTCATGATAATGTAGTAATTATCTACAGATTCTCTAGTTAAAGCATAAATAAAATGATCTTTTCTCGAAGTTCTAGAAAAATATATATTGTTCTATGATGAGTAGTTAGAACCGCTATTTTAACTGCTCAAAAGATACGATTAATTAATTGAAGATTTTATTTTTTTTGAGATCTTAGACGCAGAAAAAACTCTAGGTCTATGATTTGGAAATATTATCAAGATAACAGGACTATAGAGTAAGGTGAGGCAAAAGTTCGATCTAAGTAAAAAAAAATTGTTTAAAACAATCAATATCTCGAAACTCCAAGCGTTTGGAATCAAACTAATTCCATACACATGATCCCTAACTCAATATCTTAACATAACTCCCCAACTTCAAAACGATTCAGCCATAGTATTGGAAGAACATGGCAATCAACTAAAGCCACTCGAAGATAGTGGCTATTAAACTGATGCAAAATTTGAAATTTTCGTTCTACGGCGCGCAAACAGTGCCAAATTGGGCAGCCTTCCAAAATTTGAATTCATTTAATAAGAAACTGACTTGGCACAGACCATTTGAAGTTTGTATGGAAATTACTATGGGAAAATCAATTATTTAGATCATATCAAGTCTCCGCGTACATCGTACGGGTTAGGCAAAAGATGTGCGTCTATCTTAAAAAAAAACTGTCGCATTAATGGCCCTTCGCTCATTTTCAACTTCTATTCAATTTTCATACTGCCGTACTCTAACGGAACTATCCACCTACCCTCTTCTAAAGATCATTCTCTAGCTAATAAATTATCACACTAAAGCTTCATGTTAGCATTTCCAACCAACTCTATTATTTTCTATTTATTCTAGTGAGTTTCTGTGTCAAAACATGATCCGAGCAAAAAAGTAGTATTCGTAATAATGGTATATAATGCTGAATTTTATCGTGTTTTTTTTCGAAAATATCTTCCAAATAAACAAACATCATCCAAATCACCCGATTCGTCCACCGACTAAATCTATTGCCACTTAAAAATTAATTTCAGTCGTAGTATTAATCAGCAGATTAAATCGTTTTTCGTCTGGTGCTACACCGAGCAATCGGCCTATTTAATAGTTTTTCGTCGATTGATTTAGTCGGCCAACTTTGTCTGCTGTTTAATCGGAACATTAGAACATCCCGGCGGCGCCGACTGGGATTGAACCCAGGCCTGCTGGGGTGAGAGGTAATCACGCTTACCACTACACCACCGGCGCCGTTGTGCAATATACATGGATGAGGACATATTGCTGTTTCAGGGAACATAATTCGACGCAACTGACAGCAACAGCATGGTAGTAAGGTCCAATTTATTTTGATGCATTTTCAAAAAAATCAAAAGCAGTATTTTTCGACGCTTCACTTCAGATTGCAAAAAGCTCGCATCGTTCTACTCTTTTTGTTATTATACACAAAATGACGCGAGCTTTTTGCAATCTGAAGTCATACGTCGGAAACAAACTGCATTTATATTTTTCGAAAATGCATCAAAGTAAATTGAACCTTAAAGCCGGTAACCTGACGCCAAATGCTAATTTTGCCGGCGCCGGTGGTGTAGTGGTAAGCGTGACTGCTTTCTCACCCCACACACGTGTATCATCTTCGGCTTTACTTCGTGAAGCGCCTTGCCAACCATTTGCTCGTTTCCTTCTACCGCCCCGAGTGAGCTGTGTCGCACGAGCTGCTTGTCATGAAAAAAACAAAACGAAGAAGATTATATCATTATTGCTTTCCACTTCTGACATAGCGTTATCATTCGGTTCGTTGATCGCTTGTCATTTTGTCATTTGGAGATATTTTTGATTCCTTGCGTACAATAGAGTACAAAAACCATGGCTGCTATGTCACACTGCAGAATACAGTGTTGCCCACAATACAGCTGCTTGATCATGACATAAGATTATCAGACTCTTAAATAATTAATAACTATTTAAATTGACGTTTGACTGAAAACTGATCTTCTGCAAAGTTGTAGCTAATTTTCCATAAGAATAGTTATAGAAGTTTTTAATAGAGCTATATGGAAATAGGCAAGAAGTCAATGAACAAAAGTTTGGTTTGCCATACTAGTTTCCATATAAACTTCAAATGGTTTGTGCCAAGTCAGTTTCT